GAGTTTGAGAGTCGCGAAGTCGCTTAATTAGATCGCGAGGTATCAGCTGGTAAGATTTTTCAATCAAACGCTCGAAAAACATTGCGATGTCCCGTATGATAAAGAGCTTGCACGTGTCAAATTTTTTCACTTGCTTCTTAAAAGACAAGTTGTCTGTTTCTCTCTCTCTCTCTCTCTCTCTCTCTCTCTCTCTCTCTCTCTCTCTCTCTCACAGAAGGAGAAGAAGAAGAAGAAGAAGAAGAAGAAGAAGAAGAAGAAGAAGAAGAAGAAGAAGCGAGACGTGCTTATCGCCACGGATTTATCTTTGTAAATATCACTCGATGAGATTGTGCTTTCTTCTCTTGCTCTCGTTGAAATACATTAATGGCGTACCGACGACGTCTCTCATCGTTCGAGGAACCAAAATAACATAGGAACGTAAACCGCGGGGCTGCGAACGTCGTCCTCGTCGAGCGTCATATAACGCGGGACTTTATTTCGACGGTGAGCACCGCTTTTGCGCCTCGAGGGATGCACGATAGTCGACATCAGCGGATAGCTGATCGAAGCCTCTGCCCATAGGGTTGTTTGCACGTTGGATCACGACCTCCATGGCAAAATTCGTCGTAGCCAAACCTCGGCATTCCCTAGCGGCGGCGGCGGCGACGGCGACGGCGCGACTCTCTCCTTATCGTCGCGAAGATTTCTCCTTCACGAGCGAGCGCACTTCTTGCGATCCGTTTTCCCACCCCGCTATTTCAAACACGCCGCGAGATTTCCACGCGCCTTGTAATCCGGTAAAAAGACGGTCGAGCTATGCTGTGTGTGTGTGTGTGTGTGTGTGTGTGTTTGTGCCTGTGCATAAGGTATTCGCAATACACATATTTTGATATTAATATTAATATTATTATTCAACGTAAACGTACTCTGCGCACGATGGTTTCTTTGATCAATTTGTACACCATTTCTGTTCGGATTCAAGACCCTCGGGAAGGGGTAGTAGACGGAGAATTAATTCGCTCCGACCGCCTCTTGCCCCGTTTGTGCCACCCCGTCTCGCCCCGATGGGCGGCAATCGCAGGCAGCAGCGGCGGCTGATGCTGCTGCTGCTGCTGCTGCTGCTATTGCTGCCTCTTTGAAGAAAGACCAATAAAATCGTCTCGCAGGAAGCTTCTTCCTTCCATCCTTCGGGATGAGACGACACTCCGAACTGACGCTAAACTTTCGGCTCTTTTCGCGAATAGTTCCGCGCGCCGGAGCGGATAGAGACACATTTCGTTCGCGATTCGTGTACTTCGAGTTTCGAGAAGATCGACTTCTGTTCCATTCTGGTCCCGGGGTCGGCGTACGCGCGCCGACCCCGGGCGCGCGAGTGTATCTCTTCGTTTTGTGAGTTGGTCGTGATTGTCGGGCGAACGCGTATGTCGCGTCGTCTCGTCTCTTGCGTTTCATAGACTGAAAGGCGGCGAAACAGCCGCTTAACGCTTAACGTACTTAACTGTCCCTCAGGTTACCGAAAAGTTTACCGATGAATTTCCAAGACAGAGCTGTCGCTAGTGTGACTAGTTGGATTAATTCGATACGTCCTCCCGGATGTGTGAACAATATTCCTCGAATGTTCGAATGTGTAAAGTCTAGAGCGATAATACGTGTAATAATGATTAGGAAATTCTAAAGACCGTTCAATCAACAAGGCTATTCTGCGCAAACTGCTGTCGCTCGCTCGCACGAACGCCGCTGCGACGCGGCATGACGCTTGAAACGTTTGAAACGCTCACACCTCGCTACCTCCACCTCTACGCTCCTGCTATTCGACGCGATGCAATCGGCGAAACTCATTTTAATGGCACGTGATTTCGCAAACACGGCGAATTTTACGCAGCCTCTCTTTCACGAGTCGAGTAATCTTCACTCGCGTTCACTCGCGTCGGAGATTGACGGGCCACGCGGGTCTAAACGCGGTCGATTGTAGTTCCGTATGATTTTTAATAAACGCCGATCAGACAGCCAGATGTACCGCACGGTGCTTGACTCGTCGACCCGCACGAAGGGCCACTCGTTCGGCTTATACCCACGGTACCACTCGTGACGCACAAAACTGACGGACGGACGGACGGACGGATGGACTTGGTGTGTGCGCGGATCACGTATTACGCGGGAGCGGGAGCTACGCGGCGAACAAAGCTACGCCATTGTTTCGTGCCGTCAATAATCCACTTGCCGCGACTTGAAGGACCCGGACTTGGGCGCATAGCACGGGGGTGGCACAATTGGAAAAAGGCACGGAGAAAAACCGTCTCCTTCCGTCCTTCCGTCATGACGAAGAACAGGGAAGACAAACCGGCGGGGTTTTGAGGTCAACCTCGTTTAAGGATCGCGTTGCTCCTCGAATCCGCCGTCGCCTTTTATCCGACCTACGGACGTTTACTGGTGACAGACTTGATGTATCTTCGAGTGAGAAAGAGGGCCTAAAATCCTTCAGAGTAATCCTCGATGTTTGAAACATTTTGGACACACACACACACAGAGAGAGAGAGAGAGAGAGAGAGAGAGAGAGAGAGAGAGAGAGAGAGAGAGAGAGAGAGAGAGAGAGAGAGAGAGAGAAATTTTGTCTCCCTACACCTACACGTACATTTGACGATAGAAATTGGACAGTGATCAGAGCATATTTGTTCGAACGGATACAAGAGAGATTGAAGATGGCGCGATGAAAGACGACGCGCGACCGGTCGAGCATCGATAGATGAACATTGCGCGTCCCACGTAGCTTACTTCATTTTACTTTTTCTCTCTCTCTTTCCTTTTTTTACTTCGTACTCTCCGGAAACATTTTCTGGATGCTTGAAAAAATTCAGGTTATTCCGCCCGACACTCGACCGGCGTTCGTAATTCCGAAGATAGAGTGTAGTTATAGCTCTTTTAAGGGAGTCGATGTTTCCGCACCAATTTTCTTGGAAAGAACTTCTCGGAAAAATTGAGAGAAATCCTCGATCTTCCACGGCTACGAAAATGCAGGAAACTTTACGGGCTACTCAACGGGATGGAAAGTAATAATTTAGACCTAATATTTAACAATCTTCGCAAATATATTTTACCGGCGCTGCCGGTAATACAATAAAGTCATCGTGCGTTTTCTTGCTCTTGCTTCCTGACTGCCGTGTAACATTTAGGCGGCGAGACGATAAAACGGGATTGGAAGCGCCGATCTTCCGTTTCTCCATTCGGCGTGAGGGAAAGGAAGAAAGAAGGGAGCAGTATTTTCACTTTTCGAGATTGTTCGTAATTGCAAGCGCATACATAGAGCTGCTGAATCTCGCGGCTGGGAGACGTTCTCGAATCGCCGAATCTCTGCTGCCCCGCGGGCAGCGAAATCCGCGGAAGCGGACATCGCGTCGGCGCGACGTCGGCACCGGCTCGACAACGATATCGGATCCTCGTTCTCGCGGCGATACACGCGGCATTAATCCGCGTATTAATCCGCCGTTTGTTTTTCGCGACGTCCAATCGGCAGAATGATAAGCAAACACGGTGCCCGCTGCGGATTTTGTCCTGGAAATATCCTGGATATCGTTCGCTTCTCCGCCTGCGAGAGGAGGAGGAGGAGGAGGAGGAGGAGGAGGAAGAGCAGGAGGTAGGATCCGGAGCGTTGGCAATCGAATGATTAAAGGCGACTTCTCCTCGGTCGCTCTCCCCCGCTCGATAGGGCGAAACTCCCGACGGAAATCAGAGTCGCCGGCCATCCAGGCGGATTCCCTCTTTCTAAACCGAGACCGAACTACCTCCGTTTCTCCTCTTCTCTCTCTCTCTCTCTCTCTCTCTCTCTCTCTCTCTCTCTCTCTCTCTCTCTCTCTCTCTCTCTCTCTCCCGCTCTCTTTCTTCCCCTTCTCGCATCCGCCGACCTAGGCCTCAACCCTCTTTGCCGGAGAGCCACCACCACTATCGCCAGCATCGCCACCCCCTCGAGTCGCCTAGCCATCCTTCCAGCTTGAGCTCCTTCTAAACTCTCCGACATCCGCGTCCCTCTCGGTAAACAGCTCGAGCTGCTCCAAGTATCGGAACAGAGTTCTGAGATGTACATGCGCGCAGCGTAGCTGTGTGCGCGCATGTGTATATATTCGTATTAGATATTACATATTTTTTACGTGTGTGTACATACACATATGTATGTGTGTACACGTCGAGCGCGCTGCCGGGCAGGATATCGATTTATATCCACGAAAGCTCGGTGGTGGATGTATGCAAATCGATATAACGCGCTCGCCATGGTCGTCCCTTGGACGCTGTGTGCGTGCGATGCACGCGATGGAAACAACGATGATAATCGGCGTAATAATTACGCCGTCGATCACACGTGGCGTTTAATGTAACTTTCTCTCGCATGATGCCTAGAAGCATATAAAAGCGAGATCAAAAGAATCAAACAGATCCGTAGTTGAGTCGCATCGCGTTTCGCAGGACAAGTATTAACCAAGAGTACACACTTCGACTTTCTCTGTTCTTAGATAATTGATTGGTGCAAACGTCCTGTGACGATCTTGTACTCTGCCGTAGCGTTCGCGTGTGTGAAACTTTTTGCAAATCATGAAAAACGCTGCGACCACTGGCACCTCTTGGGCACCTCTCGGAGGGAAATTCGGATTTTAATTATCGTCAGGTTTCTCAATTCGTTTAAAACCGAAAAGACGGCTATGCCGTCGCAATGTAGTTTGTCAATTTTTACAAGAAATTTTGGAATTTTCGGCCACCGCGACACCGCGCGGGCGCGCAAAGGATTAATCTATGCACAAAAACACGCGTGCGCGTAAAAACATGAAGTTTGCTACACCGTGACAGACACGCCGAATTTCAGCGAGCTTGGCCGGGCGATCGACTTTGTTTTCGATCGACATGACGAATCGTTTGGTTATGTCCAGCCGCGGCGAATATTCCCGTGATAAATCACATTGATAAGAAAAGAAGAGAGAGAGAGAGAGAGAGAGAGAGAGAGAGAGAGAAGAGAGAGAGAGAAGAGAGAGAGAGAGAGAAAAGAAAAGAAGAGAAATGGTGCGCCGATCCGTCCTGGTTTACGACCTGCTTCGCACCGAGCAGCCGCCCGATGGCTTTTCCCAGAAGGAGATCCTGACGCACATCAGCAGCAAATATGACATCGTGGCTAGCAAAACTCTACAGCGAGACGTGGCCCTCGCCTTGCGTCACGGTTTAGACTTTGGTATACTCGCTAAGAAGAGGAACAAATTCAGGTGCCTCTTCCTCGGAAAGCTCTTCCGGGAAATAATTCCGACTCCTTGAGCGGGGAAAAATCCCCGAGCGAAACTCGATATAATATACTTTGTATTACTTCGGGCGAGAGATTTTCCTACGATAAGAATTCGAACCTTTCGACGAATTCTACTAATAATTAAGTGGTTCGGAGGAAGGTGGGATAGCGAGAGGATACAAGGACGTAAATGGTTGTTGGGGGAAAAGTTGATGGAATCTCAGCGAGAATATTTTTATTCTGCAAGTTATTAGACGACGAACAAAGACTCTCTCGTCTCTTTCTCTTTCTCTCACTCTCACGACAATATCAAGATGGAAGTTTATGATCTCAAGGCGATCTCGGCATCATCACACTCGGCATCCGTAGTACATTATTTCGACAGATTTGATCCCGAGTTTCATCAAACCACGAGCTCGAGACGCAATATCGCGAGGAGGAATACGAGGACAAAGAAGAGGACGAGGAGCAGCGGGAAAAAGGTAAGCGGTAGATCGACCGCGACTAAAGGACGACGACGGCAACGACGACGACGACGACGACGACGACGACGGGCCCCTTCGACCCGTGGCAGGGCTCGCAAACAATCGGTTTCGGTACCGCGGCCTAAATTGCCCAAACCGCCTTCATGGTCGCCGAAGAGACGGTATCTCGGCGATGAACCCATACCAAAAGTTATCAAGCATTCCCCTAAGTCGTAATTCCCCTAAGTCGAACGTCCTTATCTTTATAATCCCTTATCGTTTTTATCTTTATAATTCTCCTTCGGAATTTTTGTACGGTAATTTTACTTTCTACGCGATCTGTACCTTTGAAATTACATCTACTGTAAAACGTATGTCATAAAAGAAGACAAAAAACGTTGGGTTATATGAGAGTTGTTTGTTTCTTTGTTGTCCTTTGGTTCAAACAACAAATCGTCACTATTCATCGTGTTGTTGACACCTGACGGAAGGAATCATTTAGAAATTATTTAATATTCCATGATACAAAAAGTAGATCCATCATCGTCGAGAAAAGAGAGGGAAAGGAAAGGAAAGGAAAGGAAAGGAAAGGAAAGGAAAGAAAAGAAAAGAAAAGAAAAGAAAAGAAAAGAAAAGAAAAGAAAGGAAAAGAATGTATATCGTCAATTGCCGTTATATACATCGTTAACTTTTTGCGCGATCGGCCACGCCGGCTTTGCATCATCTTCACACGGCGAATCGTGACGCATTGCGAAATTGATCAGGCCGTGGTGACGACGGCGTGCACAACCCCGAAAATCCTGCGTATCGGCAGCTCCGGTCAGTCCGCGCGTTTCAAAAGCCGAGCCAGCGCATCGACCGTGGCTAATCAACGGACAATCCACCTCGGTGGATTCCCGAGATACGCGGGTGCGTTCTCCCGGCGGATCATCTCCCAAGATCACGTGAATCCGGCCTCGGGGATCAGTCGCATCGTTTGAAGCAGTTTCGCTTAACAGGATCCCGGTTCCGGCCGGCGGGAGATTAATTTCATGGGAACAGATTTGCCGAGCTCGCGAGCCTCGAGATCGAGATGGTTTCTCCCGTTAATCGTAATCTGTGCGTCTCCATGCGATTATCCGTGCCGATCGACATTCGACGAAAGCGTCGAATTCCAGCGAACATCCGGCCGGCTCTGCCGTTACAGAGATCTGGCCGATTTTTCGTTGTGACGAGAAGACACAAAACAATCGCGGAAGAGAGAACTTGGAACGTTCGACGAATCAAACAGATGGCATGGCTCATGTTCGCGAGGACTTTGACACGCCGAAAGCGCTCGGCGACTCGGTCGATCCTTCCGGTTTAATTCCAGCGATTCGCACGCTTCTCCATCTCTGCAGCACGACGTACAGCACGTTGCGTGGCCACGAGCGCAGCTCGCGTTTATAGTGTCCGGCTCGTCGCAGCGAGCAGTAATCAGTCGTTGCAATTTCTCGCGTTCGCCTAACGCCCGTTCGGCGGCTCGCCTAACCTCGGCACCTCGGCACGCGTGCTCGCGAGAGAGAGAGAGAGAGAGAGAGAGAGAGAGAGAGAGAGAGGGCCCGATATATGGCGCGATGAATATTTCACCTCCCGTACACCGGGCGCCTCTCGTAAAGAGCCTCGACGCGCATTGTTGTCGCGCGAACAATAAGCGGGTATATCGTAAGCATCGGCCGGCAATGTGCTCCTTTGTCCGCAAATTACACGTTGCGTAATACACACACAACGGCGTAGCGGCGGCCTCCGTTCCCGGGACCACGCGCGGGCCGGGCGTTCGGATTAAGGGTCGTCGAGCACGGAGTCGTAAAGATGACCAACATATGTCCGACGACTGTCCTAACTAATCAATTAGCAAGCGGATAATCACACACGGGCCGACGGGTGATGCGTCGATCGAGGGGTGGAAGCAGAGGAAGCAATCCGTCGCGCTTTCTGGGTCCCACGCGCGCGCGCGTGCTTCCGGCCCCTCTCGCGGCAGAAATCAATTGGGACGGTTCGCGTCGTGGGCATAATCGTGGGCAATAAATCAGGGCCGAATTATGCCCGC